TGGTAGGGCCTATATTTTCAAATTGAGACCCCAAATTTCACAATAATCCGATTTCATAATCAGCCGCGACAATAAATGCATATTCGATATTAAGTTAGGTTCATTTCTTTTGTCAAAATGTTAGATAATTTTTTAGGAATTTTAATGGTCTTCGGACCAGTACTAGGTTATATAGATCAAATAATAAAATTTAGAACGACAAAATCTAGTTTTGGCTTCTCTTTAGACACCCCTGGAATATTATTGATTAGCAGGTATTTATTTTACAAAAAGTCGAGGATATCAGTTGCTGTAGTAGCACAATTTCAAACTTTCGAAATTTTGATGCAATTAACATGCTGACCACTATTTAACATTTGCTTATATATTTAGCATAATTCGTGTTTTCTTTTGGTAAGTTTTTTTTTTTTTTTTTAGTTGATGACTTATTTTATCGAATCATTCTTGAATGTTCCTTATTATTCACAGGATTGGCAAACGATTCGACGTTATACTTCTATATCAAAGCATAGTAATGATTATCGTTCAAACATGGCTTCTTTACGAATGTATTAGATATCGTAGCCCGACTTTGTCAATTCACAATCGTAAACGCTGGTTCTGGAATTGGAGATCTTTTGGGCCTTATATGACTTGTTTAATAGTTTTACTTGGGCATTTGATATTTTTTTTTAACTTTTTTGGTGATAAAGTTTGGTTTATAGAACTTTTAGGATATATGGTATGCTGTAATATTTATATCTTCTCATTTGGCATAAAAATTTCACAAATTTTTATAAATTCAAGGCACTTGGAATCGAAAGCACACTTCCTATGCCTCAAGCATTACAAAATTATAAAAATCAATCCGTTTCGGGATTTAGGTACGGGTCCAAATTTACTTTCATGAGAATTATACTTTATTAATCGGTTGTCTCATTTTATTCATTCCATTTCCATTATCAAACTATAAAAGTCCGTTTATTCTTCTTACATGGTTTATTGGAGATTCTTTTAAAATATACTATTACGTTTTCTACAGTGAGAATTCACCCCTTCAATTCGCATTGTGTAGCGCAGTACAACTGCTAGTTGATAGCATTATCGTTGTGCAATTTATTGCCTATGATGATAAGAACGATAAGAAATAGAATACTTTGCCTTTGCGAGCATAAATTTCAATTTAAACAGTTCAGTACAGTGGCAAAGTTAACGGTCAGTAAGGTCAGCTTGTTTAAAAAGATTGGTGACGTTTTAAAGAAAAATTTCGAATATCTAAATAATACAGTTTTAATGATTTTTGTAAGTTTTGTTGGTATACAGTTTTGACACAAATGTGCTTAATCTTGCTTTTGGATGCATTCATTAATCACGCATTTATTCAACACTATGTTGAAACTCTATATTCATTAGTAAAAACGAGATCAAAGACGTTACATATATTATCCTGTTTTCAAGATTCTGTATCCTTATGCAATAAAATATATTTATTACTTTTATGTTTAGACGTTTAATTGTTTGAACAATCTAATAATTTTCCAAACTAAAAAATGGCTTCGAAGTATTGAATCAAACTTTAATTCTATTCAAAAAATGGCAGATGACATTAAAGATTTTGAATGAGCCAAAAAGCTTGGAGTGGGCGTAACAAAAACACCTTTTAATAAAAGCATTAAATTCAAATTTAAAGTTTGACACATGAGTTACAAACAATTCCTTCAATTTCATGTAATAATAACATCAAATTTGTATATACTAAAATTGTATTAATAAAGATTTAAATAATAGAATGCCAATGGCAAAAAAAAAAAAAAATTTAAAGTTTATACATGTATTAAATAAAATTTGAATTTGGATGTAAATGCATTTTATAGACTCGAATTGAATGTAGCAATAATTAAATAAATTCTAATGAATTGAATATATAAAAAAAAACAATTATTTTTTCAAAAAATTTCGTGATCTTGTGATTCTGTTATTCTTGTGCGCAGATTAAAATTTAAAAAGCGACTACGTAACTGATTTTGGTGGCGATACTAGACGCGTTCCTTCTAAGTTCGGGGATTTCAGCGTTCTCTTTTCTAAGTTCTGTAATTGTAACAAACTTAGAATTTAATTCTCGTAATGCATTGATTTCAGATAAATCTTTAGACCCGTTTTGAGTTTGCATTATTAATATTAATTTGTATAACTTTATCACAAATTTTCGAAAAAGGATTTTACTGTTCACCTCTTTAAAATGTTTTTTGTTAGTTTATACCGTTAATTTCAAATAAAAAAATATGTGCGCGTGAACAATTGTCACGCCGATCACTTTTTCCAGGACAGATTCTCGGTCATATCAATATCAATATATATAGCAATATATCAAATCTAACGACGAAATACATATTTATGAAATATATGCGAAATCGGCCACCAGGGCCAAGCTTTATTGATATTAACGGATTAATAAAATCTATGGTAAGAGGGAGAAGGTGTAAGGTCGTTCATATAACCTATCAAGAACTGCATGAAGCAGATACTTGGATAGCCGGCCCTTATCCGTCACGATGATAGGATAAGTATCTAATTCTGCTATCTCTAGCGCTGCATATACTGCGCCGGGCGTAAAATTACCCATGGTTGGGCCCACTACAATGCCAATGGACCCTTCCGGTTGCTTGGTTCTAGTAAGTACCCCAAGCAACTCATCAATAATTGGGCGACCTGTCAATATACTTAATATATATTAATAATTGAATTTTATAATAATTTTTAACCCAAACCATCTGTTAATAATATAATAATAATACCTATTGGTTGTCCAGTTTTTGCATTGAATGGCGAATCGGATCCCACATATGATATCAATGCCCCGTCGCCCCAATCCCCTAAATTAAAAAAAAACAGTGAGTACATGCGTCATTGGGGAGTGCGGTGTACTATGTAAATCAAAACTATATGTGATCGATAGGTAGTAAATTTTATAATAATAATTATTACGAATTTTTAAATAGATGTACAGCCCTAACGGTTCGATAGTTTTGGA